ATTTAACTTATTAATAACATCAAAATTAACATGTCCCAAACGAGAGTGCAAAAGTTCAAAAGAGGCACGAGGCAGTGAAGAACTAGTAGTAAGCAACGCTTGTGGTCCTTGATCCATCACATAAAGTCCTTGATCACATCGTCCCCTTGCCAGAACTCTGCCTGTCTTTCGATTCTGAATAACAAAGGAGTCATCCACAAAAATAGCTTTAGCATGATTATCACGAGTCAGTTTGCTAACAGATACAAGATTTTTAGTTAGATTAGGCACAACCAAAACATCTTTGTGGGTAATGGGACCTCTTTAAATATTACTCATGTTGGTTCTCGTTCTTTATCACATACTGTTCCTTTGTCAGATGTTTTGGTTGTGCCTAATCTAACTAAAAATCTTGTATCTGTTAGCAAACTGACTCGTGATAATCATGCTAAAGCTATTTTTGTGGATGACTCCTTTGTTATTCAGAATCGAAAGACAGGCAGAGTTCTGGCAAGGGGACGATGTGATCAAGGACTCTATGTGATGGATCAAGGACCACAAGCGTTGCTTACTACTAGTTCTTCACTGCCTCGTGCCTCTTTTGAACTTTGGCACTCTCGTTTGGGACATGTTAATTTTGATGTTATTAATAAGTTAAATAAGCAAGGTTATTTAAATGTTTCGTCTATTTTGCCTAAGCCAATCTGTTGCACTACTTGTCAGATGGCTAAGAGTAAACGTTTGGTTTTTTATGACAATAATAAAAGGGCTTCTGCCGTTCTTGATCTTATTCATTGTGATTTATGGGGACCCTCTCCAGTTGCTTCTGTTGCTGGATATTCTTACTTTGTTATTTTTGTGGATGATTTCTCTCGCTTTACCTGGTTTTATCCATTACGACATAAATCAGATTTTTATGATGTGCTTGTTCGGTTCAAAGTTTTTGTGGAAAACCAATTTTCTCGATTTATTAAAGTTTTCCAAAGTGACAATGGCACCGAGTTCACGAATAACAAAGTACAAGATTTATTTGCTTCTTCTGGTGTGCTTCATCGGTTCTCATGCCCGCATACTCAAGCATAGAATGGTCGGGTTGAACGGAAACATAGACATGCTCTTGAGATTGGTCTTGCAATGTTGTATCAGTCACATGTTCCTACCAATTATTGGGTTGATGCTTTTAGTTCTGCGGTATATATTATTAATTGTGTTCCCTCTCAGGTGCTTTTACATTGTAATCTTTTTCTCTTAAATCAGATTGATTACCTCACACAAATTGTGGTGAGATTTATCACATCTTACACTTCTTCACAATAATTTGCGTATCTTACTTTTTCCTTTCAAAATATAAAATAGAGAAAATACAAAAAAAAACTCTTTTATATGCTTTAATTTAGCTTTGAAATGCTAAGACTAGAACTCACAAGATCTATATGCACACTTAGTTTTACATGTTTTAAAATTGAATATAATTCTAGCTGCCATATTACAATCGGTTAGTTTTTCTTAAACACTATATCAAATGATGATAGAACTAAGTAAATGCAAGAAAATACATGTCTTTAAAGAGTGTACTTGTGAAAATTAATTCACTTGAATGATCTTAGAATGTCTTAGATATGTGCCTTACATCACTCTAATGAAAAATGCTTCCAAATCATTTTTGCACTTTTAAGAAAAATGTCTTAAGTAAAATTGAAAAATCTTTTCAAGGTTAAAAAGTCAAAACACCTTTAAGAAAAACCTTTTGATAGATGAAAGCATTTCAAAAAGACAAAAGTCTTTTCATCTTACAAAGTAAAAATATTTTTTAAGACAAAGGAAAATGAACATTTCAAAAATACGAAAACGTGTTTAACACAATAAAAAGGGGAGATTGTTAAGTCAAAAGTCAATCTTAAATCCCTTAATCTTTAGAGTTTTAATGTTAATAAACAAAATATTTTTATAAGAGAAAATGTTTTCATAAACGTCTTCGAAAATGCTTATTAGACAAAGTGTAAGATGTGGATCGTCTGTAAAGTGATATGAATCAGACAAAACATATAGACCAATGTGACTAATGACATAATTCATTTTAAATGCTTTATTCCTTAACAGATCGAACTAGAAAATCATCTTGGAATACACAAATCTGTTAAAGAGAACAAGATCATACTTTTTGTAAGGACTAAGGATATAAATCCCTAAAATCATGGGAAAAAACAGATAAAGTCACTTTGGCTGTTGTACTACGCTGACATTGCTTCTACAAGCTTCATTTGGTATGAAAAATTGATAAGTAACTTTCTTGATTAGATAAGAGGTACCATTTGGTGAAATACATTTAATGTTTGTATTGAGTGAGTCAATGGTTACCTCTCATCTTAAGGAAAGACATTGAAGATAGATAAATCAAACTTGTGAGTTAGACTCAACGTGTTGCAATAATCATCTTTTCCAAGCTATTGTATAAGAAGATTTGAAACTCAAGAAAGGCATAGAACACAACGACAAAAAGAGAAGAGACTTGTACATAAACATATACAAAGAAGCATTATTTTTAAATTATACTTGTGTATAATCCTCATCATTTCGGTAAAAGTTTACTGCTCTATACTAGTTGTATAACATTTAAGTTAAAGTGAACGAATACAACATCTTTGTAATCTTTATAACAATTGTTATAAGGTTGAGCCTAAAGAAGTTTGTTTATAAAATAATACTTGTTTGAGTCTAGAAAAGCTTGGTTAAAAAATAATACTTGGTTGTTAAAGGTTTATCCCTCTCTATATATAATATTAATATTATTGTTATTAATTTATCAATAATATTATGATACTATTAATATACAAAAATTTTATTTATTTAGTGTACCGGAAGGACCCTATCGGTCACGCGGACCAACACGTGCCTTGCCGTTAGACACCCACGCAAGGTGAATAACCCTAAAAGCCTTAACATTAGCACCGGCTTGGATTACAGCCGAAAGTATGTTATGAGTCGGATAGCGCGATCGGCTCGGTGTGAGGTCGATACGAACAGAACCGTGGGCTTTGCAAGATGTACACCGGCTCAGACAGAAGCCGATCAAGTATAACAGCACAGTAAACATATGACGACTCGGCCGAAGGCCGGGCCGAAAGGCGCAGCAAACGTGTAAACGGCACGGCCTAAGGCCGAGCCGAGGGACGAGATAATAATTATAGCCTCCACCATGATTAATGAGGATAAGTACGTGATTAAAGCATAATGAGCCTATTAGCGGCGTATTACCTAATTTGGTAAACTTTAGGAGAGGCCCACTACTGACAAGGCCCATCAGTGGTAGTATAAATAGGTCACTTTTGTCAAGGTATGTCACTGTTCATTAATTACCCTAGAATATCGTGCTTGTCCTGACTTGAGCGTTGGAGTGCCTTTTGCAGGAACCTCCCCCCCCCCTCGCGTAGAAGAGCACACCTGAAGACCCTCGTTCGGCCCTTCCCCCCACTGCAGAGTACGAGTGTGCCCCTAGACAGGTACATTTTGGCGCCCACCGTGGGGCCGAACCGAGAGACAACAAAGAAAGAGAGTTGAAGGGAAGCATGGTAAAGACAAGAAAGACCAACATGGGAGATCATCAGTCCGAGGAGCATCAATCGGGAGTCGACAATTCTGAGACCATTGAGGAGACGAATGTGACTGAAATGATGCGACAGCTGAAAGAAGAAATGGCTGCCATGAAGCAGCAACGGGAGAGGGATGCGGCCGAGATGGCTGCCTTGAGAGCGGAAAATGCTAACCTAAGGAGTCAACACCGAGACACTACCTGGAAACCCTCCGAGACAACTCATTCTCAGGGATCGTTCCACTCGCACGGTCAGCACACGTCTGCCCCGAATACCTCTGCCGCGGCCCACAGCATCCACGCATCGGCCGCACGACCGATACAGTCAATGCCGACCGGAGCGCACCGACATCTGTTTACAACGAGTATTATGCAGTCAGCACTTCTCGACAACTGGAAGTCACTCCCCCTCGATAAGTATGATGGCACCACAGACCCAGACGAACTCGTGGACGTGTTCTTGACGCAGGTAACCTTGAGTACCACAGATGACGCCGCGCTATGCCAGATTTTCCCGACCTCCCTGAAGGGTCGCGCACTAAGTTGGTTTACCCGACTCCCGGCAAGCTCTATCGATTCCTTCAGCATGTTAGCATCCCAGTTCACAGTTCAGTTTGCCACTAGCCGTCCTCACCAGTTGACCTCACTAGCCCTGGTCAGTATTCGTCAAGAGTGCAAGGAGTCCCTACGGGCATTCATGACTCGATTCAACAAGGCGGCCTTGGAGATCAGAGACCTTAATCCCGCCGTCGCTTTGCATCATTTAATTACCGCTTTGAAGCCGGGTCCCTTCGCTAATAGCATATGCAAAAAGCCGCCCACAGACATGGATGATCTTCGGCGAAGAGCCGATAAGTACATGCAGATGGAGGAGTTAGCCGAGTTTCGCAATCAGGCTAGAACAGAGGTGGCGGCCAAGTTGGAAAGGCCGATCGAAGGCAATACCCGAAGCCGACCGAAGGAATTGGTACCCCGGGAGAGGTCCCGGAACGGACCGAGATACCCGCAGTACACCCCCCTGAACACTAGTAGAGCGGCTATACTAGAGCAGGCATTGGCCTCTGAAGTATTGACGGTCCCGAAACGAGCCTCGACCCCTCCCAGGGCCGACACAAGCAGGTCTTGCAAATATCATCGTAATCGGGGGCACTCAACCGAGGAATGTGCGGCGTTGAAAGACAGGATAGAGGATCTAATCAAGCAGGGACAACTACAGGGTTTCGTGGAGCGTCCCAATACATCCCGGCGTACCGATCGGTCGAGACAGCCTGATCACCCCGAAACCAGAGTCGAGACACGCGGGTATAGAGAGCGCAGCCGCTCCAGAGAAAGGCGAGACCCGGAACCTAAATCACAACCCAGGCGAGTCATCAACACGATAGCAGGCGGATTCGCAGGTGGTGGTTCTTCTTCATCGGCGCAAAGAAGACACCTACGCGCCATTCGACACGTCAATGCCGTTGAGACGGCTCGGCATACACAGCCTACTATTTCCTTCACCAGCGCCGATTTCAAGGGGATTGACCCGAATCAATACGACCCAATGGTAATCAGCGTCGAAATTCATAACTGCATTGTGCGTAAAACGCTGGTTGATCAAGGAAGTTCAGCCGACATCTTGTACTGGAGCACGTTCAAGCAGTTGGGCATCCCGGAGTCTGAGTTAATCCCGTATGACGAACCGTTGGTCGGATTCTCTGGCGAACGGGTTAAAACAAAGGGGTATATCAAGTTGTCGACTCGTTTCGGATTTAAAGGAGCAGAATACCGTGACATCCCGGTAAAATATGTGGTAGTCAACGCCAATACATCCTACAACATTCTGCTCAGCCGGCCATCTCTGAACAGACTCGGCGCTATCGTGTCCACGCCTCATCTGGCCATGAAGTTCCCGTCCGGTTCGGGGCGGGTGATCACTGTCCATGCCGACCAGAAAACGGCACGCGAGTGCTATTTCGCCAGCCTGCGGTTACCGAAACCTCGTGCGGAAATTGTTGAAGAGCCCAAGCGTATCCACTCGGTATCATCAGAGGGGGCACTCAACCTTGACCCCAGAATGGATCAAGATGAAAGAGTTGAACCTATTGAAGAAAAGCAACCTCTCCAAGTCGGGACTTCTGATGCACAGCTTACTTATCTAGGCACCGTTCTCTCAGAACGAGAGAAGGCAGCTATCGAACAAGTAGTACTTGACAACCGAGATTTGTTTGCGTGGCACCCCTCCGACATGCCTGGCATCGACCCAAACTTTCTTTGCCATAAGCTCTCGATTAGTAGGGAGGCGAGGCCGATTGCCCAGCGGCGTCGGAAAACCGGAGAGGAGAAGAAGGCGGCAATTGAGGCTGAGGTAGCCAGATTGCTGGAAGCGCAGTTTATACGGGAAGTGCACTACACAATGTGGCTGGCTAATGTGGTCATGGTCCGAAAGCCGAATGGGAAATGGCGTATGTGTACTGATTACACCAACTTGAACAAGGCCTGCCCGAAAGACGCCTACCCGTTGCCCAATATCAATCGGCTCGTCGATGGGGCGTCCGGCCACCGATTCCTATCCTTCCTAGACGCCTATTCGGGGTATAACTAAATTCCCATGCACCCTCAAGATGAAGAAAAAATGGCGTTCATCACCGAGACGGCCAACTACTGCTACCGCGTGATGCCGTTCGGTCTGAAGAACGTCGGGGCCACATACCAGCGTTTGATGAATAAAATTTTCCATGATCAGATAGGTCGGTGCCTGGAAGTTTACGTTGATGACATGGTCGTAAAGTCTGGTGAAGTTTCTGCCCACATGCACCACCTCGCTGAAGTGTTCCGAGCGCTCAGGCAACATCGGATGAGGCTGAACCCTGAAAAGTGCGTGTTTGGTGTTTCAGGTGGAAAGTTTTTGGGGTTCATGTTGTCCAATCGGGGCATCGAGGCGAACCCGGATAAGTGTCAGGCCATACTGGAGATGAAGAGTCCCGGCACTCTTAAGGAAGTACAGAAGTTAGCAGGTCGGCTTACCTCGCTTTCACGGTTCCTTCCTCGGCTGGCCGAGATATCTCAGCCAATCCTTGCCCTGCTAAAGAAAGCAAAGCAGTTTAGCTGGATCGACGAATGTGAAGAGTCGTTCCAACAATTCAAGCAACGCCTTAGCTCACCCCCGGTACTCTCCAAACCGAATGCCAGCTCCGATATGATAGTTTACCTGGCCGTATCAGGTCATTCGGTAAGCGCTGTTTTGATACAAGAAGACCAGAAGGATCAGCGACCGGTGTACTTTACCAGTCGGACACTACAAGACGCCGAGAAGCGCTACCAGTTGATAGAAAAGATGGCTTTAATGCTCGTCTACACTGCTCGCAGGCTCAGGCAATATTTCCAAAGTCATAGGGTGGTAGTCCGAACTGATTGCCCGATTGCAAAAGTCCTTCGGAAGCCAGAAATCGCTGGTAGAATGATGGTCTGGTCGGTCGAGCTCTCAGAATTCGACATATCTTTTGAGCCGAGGGGACCTATCAAGTCGCAACATTTGGCTGACTTCGTCAACGAGCTCACCCCAGCAGGTAGTTTTCAAGACGAGCCATGGACCATGCATCTCGACGGATCATCTAACGCTCAAGGAAGCGGGGCGGGGATAATTCTCGCTAGCCCCTCTGGCATCACGGTAGAACAATCGCTCCGCTTCAGTTTTCGAGCGTCTAACAACCAAGCGGAGTACGAAGCATTGCTGGCCGGAATGAGACTAGCAGCTGAAATGGGTGTGAAAAAAGTCGTATGCTGGACCAACTCAAAGATTGTGGCCGAACAGGTCAACAACAACTTTCAAGTCAAAGATGCTAATTTGTTGCAGTATTATCACCTCTTCCAGAAACTCAAAGATGATTTCGCCGAGGTTCAAATCCGGCATATTCTAAGAGGTAGCAATGAACGAGCCGACCAGTTAGCTCGGCTCGCTAGCAGTAGAAAACTGGGACAGCTAAGAGCAACAATTCACCTGGAAGTCCCTTCTCCAAGTGTGGCCGTAGAGTGCATGGCTACCAATGCTGAAGTACCAAACTGGATGACTCCCATTCGGAACTTCATCCTCCAAGGGGAATTGCCCACCGATCTGATGGAAGCGAGAAAGTTGCGTACCCAAGCAGCTCGGTACTCCATAGTAGCTAGCGAACTCTATAGGCGAGGATTCTCCACCCCGTTGCTTAAATGCATTGACAATCTACAGGCTGAATATGTAATGCGGGAAGTTCACGAAGGTATCTGCGGATCCCATTCCGGAGGCCGAACCCTGGCAGCAAAAGTGTTACGAGCCGGCAATTATTGGCCGACCCTGAAAGGAGATTGTGCTGAGTTTGTCAAGAGGTGCATACCATGTCAACGACACGAAAATGTCATTCACGCATCGGCCACCGAGTTACACAGCATCAGCTCCCCGTGGCCGTTTGCGTTATGGGGTATCGACATGCTCGGACCGTTCCCCGTCGCAAAAGGGCAGGTAAAATTTCTTTTGGTCGCGGTCGACTACTTTACCAAGTGGATAGAAGCCGAACCGCTCGCCTGCATCTCGGCAACTAACGTTCAGAAATTTGTATGGAGGAATTTGGTTACCCGCTTCAGCATTCCATACGCCATCGTTTCGGACAATGGCCTCCAGTTTACAGACAAGAAGTTCAACGCTTTCCTTGAAAACCTTGGAATTCGGCACCGGTTCACGTCAGTGGAACATCCTCAGTCGAACGGCCAGGACGAAGCTGCAAACAAGGTTATTCTCTCCCATCCCAAAAAGCGTCTCGGTACGGCTAAAGGAGCATGGGCCGAAGAGTTACCGGAAGTCCTCTGGGCTTACCGGTGTACTCCGCAATCAACTACCAGGGAAACACCCTTCCGCCTGACGTACGGCGTAGATGCAATGATTCCGGTGGAGATAGGCGAACCCTCGTTCAGGAGACAACATTTTCATGAGGAAGCTAATGATGACTCATGCCGAGCCGAACTCGATGTCCTTGATGAAAGGCGAGAAAAGGCACGAGTGGTGGCAGAAGCATGCAAACAACGAATGAGCCGATGCTTTAACTCTAACCTAAGGCCGAGAACGTTTCAGGAGGGTGACCTAGTCTGGAGAGCAACTGGTTTGGCCAGGCGGAACGCTTCCGAGGGCAAGCTCTCAGCTAATTGGGACGGACCGTTTCGCATACGGCATGCGCTTAACAATGGGGCATACAAGTTGGAGGAGCTGTCCGGCAAAGTCATTCCGAGGACCTGGAATTCAACACATCTGAAGACGTATTATAGTTGAACCAAACTTGAATTTACCTTACAATTGTGTGTAAAATGGTGCACTCTTTTCCTTGAACCGATCTTTTTTCCCCTTATAAAATTGTGAAAAGGGGTTTTTGATTGGCAAGGTTTTTAACGAGGCATCAAGTCAATAAGAATACACTTCAAAATCTCAGACATCAGATGTTGGCTTATAGTTAAAATTTTAAAGTTTTAAAATTTTTACAAGTCTTCCCTCCCGAGATGTCTCTCGGCTAAGGACGCGGCTTAAAATTTTTACAAGTCTTCCCTCCCGAGATGTCTCTCGGCTAAGGACGCGGCTTAAAATTTTTACAAGTCTTCCCTCCCGAGATGTCTCTCGGCTAAGGACGCGGCTTAAAATTTTTACAAGTCTTCCCTCCCGAGATGTCTCTCGGCTAAGGACGCGGCTTAAAATTTTTACAAGTCTTCCCTCCCGAGATGTCTCTCGGCTAAGGACGCGGCTTAAAATTTTTACAAGTCTTCCCTCCCGAGACGTCTCTCGACTAAGGACGCGGCTTAAAGTTTTTACGAGTCTTCCCTCCCGAGATGTCTCTTGGCTAAGGACGTGGCTTAAAATTTTTTACAAGTCTTCCCTCCCGAGATGTCTCTCGGCTAAGGACGCGACTTAAAATTTTTACGAGTCTTCCCTCCCGAGATGTCTCTCGGCTAAGGACGTGGCTTAATTTTTTTTACAAGTCTTCCCTCCTGAGATGTCTCTCGGCTAAGGACGTGGCTTAAAATTTTTTACAAGTCTTCCCTCTCGAGATGTCTCTCGGTTAAGGACGCGGCTTAAAATTTTTACAAGTCTTACCAATTTTCAGTACCGTGTGAAATAAATACGACAACTAAGCAATTATAACCGAAATGATAACATATTCATTAAGGCACTATCGGCCTGGAGAAGTACAAGGATAAAAGGGGCACTATCGGCCCATCCATACACAAACCAAACCAAACAAAACAGCAAAATTCAACAAGAGCACTATTGGCTCATTAACACAAGGCGCACAAGAAAAAATTCAAGACTGCACCTCCGCCTCACCCTGCACGGGGCCGTCTTCCGGGGCGCCTTCCTCGTATGCCGTCTCGTCGTCCAGCCTGGTCGCCCGAACCGGAGCCGCCTCGTCCGGCTGCTGATCCGGCAGGATAGACGTTAAGTCCACCAACTTCCCCTGGAAGAAGTCCTTGGTCATGTCCAGCTGGAAGTCGGAGGGGAAGTCACCAAAGTAGCGCGCTTGCCGAGCCGCCTGGTTGAACCCAGCCTCATGCTGGGACAAGACCTTGCTACGAGCTTTTTCTTGGTAAGCCCCGAAGGCTATCTTCTCGGATTCCAGCTCTTTGGTCAGCAGCCCAACCTTCGAGTCCAGTACAACGGGAACAGAGGCTGTCCGTCGTCATCAAAAAAGTACTTATTCCCCGTCGACGGCCTAATCATTACTTTGAGAAATCCTCTCTTAAAGTTTTTATAAGAGGTAGTAAACGGCTGCAACAAATAATCAGCATGCCGAACCAATGACAACCACTTGACCTTCTTAGCTGGCCGAGACGAGTAGAAATACAAGAACAGGAGAGGGGTAGGTTGAAGGCCGAGGGTCGAGCACAACCGCCTAAACCCTTGCATGGCAGCCCAGGTGTTGGGATGAAGTTGAGTCGGCGCCACATTTAGCAAGCGCATTATCCCCATGCAATACTCGTCGAACGGCAGTGTCACCTTTAGATCGCGGAACATGTAATCATACATGTAAAAAAAACTGGTATTTACAGCTTCCTCGATCTAAGAAGACGAAGTCGGGGTGGGGACCGCCGTCACCTCGGCACGGCTGAAAGAAAAGAGGAGCAGGATCTTCCTCGGCCGGGAAGGTCACACAATTCGTCGCCGAGAGAAAGAGCGCGATCGAATTCTTGTCGGCGTACCGAGAGTAGACGCTACCCACTTCCCCGTGCACCCATGAATAACCAGGAGTCGTAATAGGGGGAAACTGCCATGAACCCGTAGACGGCCGTTCCTCCGAACCTATTGCCGAGGCGGAATCGCCTTCGCCAGTAATGTGCCTTGACCCTGAAGCGGATCCAGTGTTGTCGGATCCGTTCGACGCCGAGGCCGACCTGTCGTGTCGGTCCGACGCTGCCCTCGAAGCGACGCTAGCTGAGCCAACCGTGTCCCCAGAAGAGCCAACATGAACAATACCTGAATTTGCCATTACGTACCTGATGGTTGAGTTTGACCTATTGTCAGTGAATAATCTAGCACTTGGATGATCTCGGCTCGAAGCAAGTTTAACAGCGTGCCTTTGAGGTTTCCCCCTACACACCTTTTTATAGGCGTTCCCGCAACCACGTTGAAAGCCATACCCCTCCGCGTACCGTTGGATCGCTTAGATCCAATGGCCCACAACGCGCGACCTTTCGCATGCGTCATTTACTACTCAGCGGTTATAACCCTTGGCATTCTTCCAACAGCTATAACCCTTCATCTCCCACCAGCAGCCATAACTCATCATTAAGACTCAACCGTAGCAACTCTTCGTTTCCCTCCACCGGGTAGCCTTGTCCTGAAGGACAGTTGAGCCATTTTTACCCTCTGCGTCGTTTCACTCCTCAAGGCTGGGGGGCTTGTGTACCGGAAGGACCCTATCGGTCACGCGGACCAACACGTGACTTGCCGTCAGACACCCATGCAAGGTGAATAACCCTAAAAGCCTTAACATTAGCACCGGCTCGGGTTACAGCCGAAAGTATGTTATGAGTCGGATAGCGCGATCGGCTCGGTGTGAGGTCGATACGAACAGAACCGTGGGCTTCGCAAGACGTACACCGGCTCAGACAGAAGCCGATCAAGTATAACAGCATAGTAAACATATGACGACTCGGCCGAAGGCCGGGCCGAAAGGCGCAGCAAACATGTATACGGCACGGCCTAAGGCCGAGCCGAGGGACGAGATAATAATTATAGCCTTCACCATGATTAATGAGGATAAGTACGTGATTAAAGCATAATGAGCCTATTAGCGGCGTATTACCTAATTTGGTAAACTTCAGGAGAGGCCCACTATTGACAAGGCCCATCAGTGGTAGTATAAATAGGTCACTTTTGTCAAGGTATGTCACTGTTCATTAATTACCCTAGAATATCGTGCTTGTCTTGACTTGAGCGTTGGAGTGCCTTTTGCAGGTACCTCCCCCCCCTCGCGCAGAAGAGCACACCTGAAGACCCTCGTTCGGCCCTTCCCCCCACTGCAGAGTACGAGTGTGCCCCTAGACAGGTACATTTAGTAATAATAAATATATGATTTGATACATGAATGAAAATTATAATATATATGTAACTTAAATATATTAACAACTATATAATTTTAAAAAATTATATGTATATAATATAAATTTTTTAATATTATTTGATTTTTAATAAGATGATCTAAAATTGTATCATTGCAATACTTGATGATTAAAATTGCTAAATTTAACATTTTTAGGGACTAAAATAACACAATTATTATATTTGAGAAACTTCTCATTTAAAATTTTGAAAACCAAAATCACACAATTGGAATAGTTGAAATAAAAAAAAACACAATTTAGCCTTTATTAATTCATTAAACTTCAGTAATGTTACACTATATGCATATAACGTCTTAGTTAATTGAATTTATTTTACTTTTTTATGTTGTTATTCCTCTTGAGATTATTATTAATGCTTATCTTTTTCAATAAACTTACGATTGACATCAAAATAATATTTTAATTATTAAAAGGTTTAGTATCAAAGAATGAAACATAAAACTTATATTACATATTACGGTGTAAGAATTAACATATATTGACAAAGTATGTATATGAAACAATTTTATTTGATTTCAAAATAAAAATTTTATTATTAAAGATTTAGTGTGGAAGAAAATATTATTGTTAACACATACATTAGTTATAATAGGATAAAAAAAAAATTAGACTTATTGTTATAAATGTCATATAATCAACTTTTTTATATTTTAAAATAAAGGTAAAAATAATTTTAAAATATAAATAAAACATACTTTAAAACATGAAACTAATAAAAATATTATCTTTTTAATATATTTATTATTATATAAAATATATATTAAATCAAATATCGTGCATCGCATAACTAAATATACTAGTATATGCACTAAGATGATATATTATGGATTTAAATCTCTTATTTCTTTTTATGATCATCTAAATCATGTTTTATTATTATTGTTATTATTAGGCCAATAAATCTTAAATTTAATAATCATCATCGAAATCAGACTAAATTTTACTATGAAACGTATTTCACAAATTGACCGACCATCAATCAAATGGTTGACTTGATCTACTTGGTCGACAATATATTAATACGGTATATAATTCTCTAAACTTAAGTATTACAGTGAAGAATCTACACTACTTGATCGTTGAGATTGATATAACACAATTATTATTATTTTTATATATTTATTATTATTGTTTAATAAAAAAGTATTTGTTATTATTAAAACATAACCTTAATTATAATTCACCTTTTATTATAACAAATGAGCATAATATTATTTTTTATGTTTTGTATGAATCTAATGCATGTAAAGTTTACCTTCTCCATGTTGATCAATCACTTAATTTGAAGCACTCTTTTAACATTTTGAGATCACACCTAAGAAAAAACAAATTGTATCATAGTATTGAATTGTTGCATTTTGTTCCATTTTACTTTTTTATGTTAATTCACGTAGGATCACATTTCTTTTGAGTTATTTAAGATTAGTTCCATGTATTTATTTAGCTTTTATTTTGACAGAATTTATTTATTTAGTTTACCATTTGAAATACTTGAGAATCAAAACATTAAAGACCAAAATTGGGTAAATATTACAACACTTGAAAAATCAGAGAAAACAACTAAAATTTTCTTTTGTTCATTATATTTATGTGTCTGATAATATCTGCGTCTTTTATTTATGTTCTTCGTTAAAATATTAAAATGACATAGAATTAATCACTATATTTAGAGTTAATCCACTGTATTTATTATCGTTATTTTAACACTAACGAATAAATGAAATAATGCAAATAGCATCCAAATTAATAATTAATGAATAAAAATGGTGAATGAGACAAAGCCTCGTATCCATACTAAGGAAGAGGGAGAGATAGGCACACAAGAAAGAGCGAATGGCGTCCATTTGTGCTCCAACAAGAGCACTCATCTTCACCCATTCAACCAAACGCTTCTTCCCTTCCTTCAAACCCTTTTCTCTCCAATGCGCCACAAAGACAACCTTCATCCTCCAACAACCTCGTCACAACAACAACAACAACAACAACGTCATCCAAATCCTTCAACAACGAGGCCTCCTCGACTCCCTCACCAGCGACGCGCTCCGGAGCGCGTGCTCGACACCTCTCCGCGTCTACTGCGGCTTCGACCCCACTGCCGAGTCCCTCCACCTTGGCAACCTCCTCGCCCTCGTCGTCCTCTCCTGGTTCCGCCGCTGCGGCCACCGCGCCGTCGCCTTGATCGGCGGCGCTACCGCCCGCGTCGGCGATCCATCCGGGAAATCCCTCGAAAGGCCCGAACTTGACGCCGACTCCTTGGAAAAGAACACATTGGGTATTTCCAACACCATCGAACGGATTCTGGGTGGCGCTCAAAATCCTAACTTGGTGGGTCCTGATTCCTCTGTTGTGATTCTCAATAACTATGATTGGTGGAAGGAGTTTAGTTTGTTGGATTTTTTGAAGAGGGTGGGTAAGTATGCTAGGGTAGGGTCAATGATGGCTAAGGAGAGTGTGAGGAAGAGGTTGGAATCAGAGCAAGGAATGAGTTACACTGAGTTCACTTATCAATTGTTACAGGGTTATGATTTCTTGCACTTGTTTCAGAATGAGGGTGTTAGTGTTCAGATTGGGGGGAGTGATCAATGGGGTAATATAACTGCTGGGACTGAGTTGATTAGGAAGATTTTGCAGGTGGAGGGTGCTTATGGTTTGACATTCCCTCTTCTTTTGAAGAGTGATGGCACAAAGTTTGGTAAGTCCGAGGATGGTGCCATTTGGTTGTCTCCAACGTTGTTGTCTCCCTATAAGTTTTACCAGTATTTTTTTAGTGTTCCTGATGCTGATGTGATTAGGTTTATGAAGATTCTAACATTTTTGGACATTGAGGAAATTGTTGCCTTGGAGGGGGAGATGGGGAGACCTGGCTATGTGCCTAACACCGCTCAGCGGAGGCTTGCTGAGGAAGTTACTCGGTTTGTTCATGGAGAGGATGGTTTGGCTGAGGCTCTCAAGGCCACGGAGGCTATGAGGCCGGGGTCCGAGACTAAGTTGGACTGGAAAACCATTGAGGGGATTGCTGAGGGTTTGCCCTCCTGTTCTTTGGCTTATGATGAGGTTTTGAATCTGTCCCTGGTGGATCTTTCGGTGTCTTCTGGTTTGTTCGAGAGTAAATCGGCTGCAAGGCGGTTGTTGAAGCAAGGAGGGCTTTACTTGAATAACAGCAGAGTGGATAGTGAAAGTAAGAGGATTGAGGCTGCAGATATAGTGGATGGGAAAGTTTTGCTGTTATCAGCAGGCAAAAAGAATAAGGTGCTGGTGAGAATAGCTTGAGATTGTTTACTGGATTGAATATTCTTTGGAGACTGTTTATTTGCTCTGTGTGGTTTTGTTGTACTCTTTAGAAAGAAACCTTTGATTTTCCTGCCTACACAGAAGCTTCAAAGTTACCTGTGGAATGCCAACCAGTTTTGCTTTAAAATTCCATTATGATATCCATGCATCTAAGTTTTGTCTTTTCTAATTACACCTCTTACTTGCATCCATTCTTTGGTAAACATTGCAGCTGCGTTCTTATTTATGGAGTATCTAACATTGCAGATGTAAATTTATATGTTCAAAAAATTTATAGATTAGAGAATGTTGAAAGTAAATATATTTATTAACCATTGTTGAAAAACCGCTAATTGCATTGAGCATTAGTTAATGAACTCATTGGTCGTTGGTTGGGGGCAAGTGGTCTGTTTGCTGGAAGTCTTGATCTTTGATCTATAACATTGTGATAAATAATTAGTATTGTGTGTCTGACACGGAGTAAAAGCCTGGTTGAAACAAGTTGGAGTTCTATTTGCCCTTAATTTGTATGGCAATATTGAGATTCATGTCAATCTATATGCTATCAAGAACCAGATGTAGCAGGTTGCACTCTTGCCCGATGAAACCTTCATCTTTCCAATGAAAACCCTTATGTAAAGTGAATCATTAGACTCGTCTATATGGCAAATACTGATCTTCTCACTTGAGCCTAATGTCAACTACACATTAGGTGCTCATTATCATACCTAATCTTTAATAAATAGATATATGGAACAAGATGGGAGTATCTATTAAAATAAATACCATCCAATCCAATCTCCAAGCATTGCGAGTCACCTAGAGATCGTAATCACGTGTCTTCCATCATTTTCTTTGCGGCGTGTTGTGTGTATTCCCATCATCGACTATTTGTGTGTGAGGATTTTGCCAAAAGAGAACAAACCAATTCAAGAGAACAAACCAATTCAAGCACAGATTCCTACCTAATACACATTTTTTCCTATTATATCCAATCATACTAGCTTAAATATTCCATTATCTATCCTAAGAAGGATGCTGCTGCACAGGGCAAGATGGAGAAATGAATCAAATCAAATCCCGGTTCTTTATAGAGACAAACAAAATAAAATACAAGTTTACGGCTGTCTTATTTGCAGAACTTATGATTTCAGTCAATTATTTTTAATAATTCCTTGAAATTCTCAAGTCATTGAAACTTGAAAGCAGAAGGTGAAACCAAGTAAATTGAACATTTATCAAAATATAAAGCAGAACAGAACAACATATATACCAATATCTGTAAATAAAATAGTTAGGCACAGGCACTTCAATTCAAAAAACATGAAAGTTTTTTACACATGCAAATATGCTGCTCACATAGTTTAAGATCTTGTAAACAAAGAAAAAAGAATGGTGATTAATATTATATCATTACGACAAGTTGTTGATTACCTCAAACCTCTTGTTTTCTTCAAGTCTTTGTTTTGTAGCCTCATGGTAAGTTTTGGTGCAAGTGCAACCCTTTGCCATCTGCTAGTGCAAAGAATGGGTTTAAGTATGTCATAATGTGATATCAGGTTTTCCCTTATATGCTACTTGGAGAAACAGAAACACACCATGGGTCAAGACACAAAGCAATTACTTATAACATTTTAAGAAAGTGAATTACAGTCTAATTTAATCTTATAAAACTGGCTTGGAATTCGATGATTACTTTTCATTTATATATATTAGCATAGTCATTTCAATAGTGGATGTAGGATTATATGCTATAAGTTGCTGTCAAGTTAAGAGCAACTCTAAGCTGGATTAATGTCATTAGGACTGATAAATGAACATGCTGCTGTATAATATTATAAATCACAGTCATTCATGTATGAATGTGATATTTTCCAAATGTTTTATGGTTGGTCATTTTTTTCCATGTACTGGTTATTGTTGTTGCACAGATTATCCGCTCTCCAAGTTCAGGGATAAGCAAAGGTGCACTGGCTGGAATAATCTTAAGTGCAATTGCATGTGCAGTTACATTATCTGCAATTGTTTCCATTCTTATTTTGAGAACACGCTTGAGAGATTATCATACACTTTCCAAACGATGTACCTTATGATGAGTGAACTAGCCAATTATCTTTTCCTCTTTGAATTGTCTCCATGCTCTGGCTATGTCACATATCAGAAGTCTAGACTCTAGATGTTATTGCAAGTTTTATTTTGACTGAAGTATATTCTAAACTATTTTCCTCTTATCATCATTCAGAATATTCTTAAAGTTTTCACATTAACCTTTTGAGACTATTTCTGTTGGCATGGATTGTTAAATTCTCAAAAATGCTGCCACAATCAATAGGTTTTGGTAAGAATTGAATGATGCATGTTGAAGCTCCTTTTCTAGAGAAATATATTTTTTTTCTGTGTTTTATGTCCCTTTGTTCCCCCCTTTTGGTTAGGTAGATACTTTATTAGAAAAAAAATGGTAATTACAATTATGGGGAAGATAACAAAAAATTCTAGTAACAAGGAGCATGAAAGAACCCTGAAAAAGGCTTTCTAGTCTCTCTACACATCAAGAAATAGGACTAAAAAGGTGAAACATCCATGAACACTGATAAGTGATAACCATCCCTATTCCATAAAGAACCCTGAAGACGTGAGCTTTCCACTCAAACCATTACATTTGGCCCTTTAGTTTATTTTCTTTTGTCATTCAATAACATTTTCATTGAAAGAAAGTTCATTTTGTTGCTTATATGGAACTATAAATTCATTGATGCTAACCATATCTGATTGGTTGTGAACTTGTCAAGAATGAACAGGTTAAAATATATCTTAAGCAAAGGCTTCTATATTTTCACAGCATCTAGGATATTGATAAAAGTTGATGATGTAAGATCATTTGATTACAAAGAAATGGCCTTGGCTACAAACAAATTTAACGAGTCTTCTCAAATTGGAGAAGGGGGCTATGGGAAGGTTTATAAAGGTCATCTTCCTGATGGCACTGTTGTTGCCATAAAACGTGCACAGGAGGGTTCACCGCAAGGAGAGAGGGAGTTCCTTACAGAAATAGAATTGCTATCAAGGTTACATCATCGCAATCTTGTCTGTGTTTGGATACCGCGATGAAGAGGGTGAACAGGTAACTTTTGGTTTAAAGTTCAAAAATGTAAACTCAAAAGAATTTGTTGTAGTATAATTGTCAGTTATCTTCGATTTGTGATTTATTTTTGGAATTTTTATTTTCCACAAGTTCCATTGCCTTGCTGTCTCATGTTGATTGATGCATTCCACGAGGACATGATGTACTAATGAGTGCTAGTTAGCAAAGCAACACAGTCTTAACACATTTTTTTACTATTGGTTAGAAAAACTACAAAATCATAAATAAAACTCATTTAAATAAGAAATGAGATCCACAAAATTTTGTAATTTTCAGGAAGTTTTATTCAATAATAAAGATGTTCAAAGAGTGTGTTGCTAACATTTTTATGAAAATATTCCGTTAAAATGAGGATGTAAGTTGGTTTGTTTCTTTGTGCTTGCAGATGTTGGTTTATGAATATATGCCAAAAGGAACACTAAGGGATCACCTTTCGGGTATATTTTGTGCTCTTGTTATCCAATTTTCTGTATTGTCTATTAACTAAATAGCGTCCATACTCCATTGCATCTTTACCATTGACTATGTCATCAATGATGAAACAACAAATATTGTTTTGCCTGTATAAGTACATTTTTTTTATCAAAAAAATAAAAATATCATAGTATCTTTTTACTTTAAATAGGACTCTGTACTTTCCATAAGGCTGAGGACTCTGTTGTTTGTTTTAACTTTTAACTATGTACTTTAATGTTTTATGGCAGCTTATTCAAAAGAACCTCTTAGTTTTTCCATGAGGTTGAGGATTGCTTTAGGATCAGCCAAAGGTCTTTTATATCTACACACAGAAGCTAATCCTCCAATATTCCACCGATATGTCAAGGCCAGTAATATATTATTGGACTCTAGGTACACAGCAAAAGTTGCTGATTTTGGACTTTCACGGCTTGCCCCAGTTCCTGATACTGAAGGAAATGTACCTGGTCATGTATCAACAGTGGTAAAGGGGACCCCGGTATGGTTTTCATAACTGGATTTACTTCAGCTAAAATTGAGCACGTGTGCATTCAGGATAAGCCTAGAAATCTTATTAAAATTTGTTTTATTAGTAGTAATAGACACGAGACACCATATTCTACAAAATTTAAAAAGGAAAATGTTGAAGAATGCATTTATTAAAGAATTAGTGAACTATTGTTACCCTTCAGTAGTGAAAAATAGGAAAAGAATCAGGATGCCATCATTATACACAGAAATCTCAACTAATGTGCAGTTTGATGACTAGTTTTTATTATTTGGTTTGTGAGGGAGTGAGGGCAACAATTATGATTGTCTACTACACGAAAACAATCTTCTTTACTGAATATGGATATTTCCCATACTAACTGCATATTCCATATTTGACAAATACTTCCAAGTCTTAAATTTAAAGTTTCTTCTCTCTGAAGTTAGTGGTGGTTGCTTGTATCCACACTCAAGTATACTATAAGCACATTTGAAACAAAGGGAGTGTGATCTACTTTTCTTTAGTACAGAGTAATATAAATAATGGTTAATAATTAAAGGAAAAAAATGATTGATCTTTATCTGCCAAGGCGTGTTTGAATTAGCATGTGTTCATAATGTTCTGAAATCTGTATGACTGTAATTTTTTGCACCGACCATTTTGTGGGATCAGAGCTAGTAGTTATGATTGGTCTCTTTTAGGTACCCCAGTAGTTTTGTATTTAATTCTCCACTAGAAAGGACCCAGTCTATGAAAACATATTTCGTGTATTTGTGCATGCACTTAACTGTGATCTTGGTGGTTCTAATCTAGTTATTTAGGCCAATTAGTGGTTATGTTCAAGGCTAAAATTTTTTGCTTTCAATTTTTTATGACCTAATGGTGGACTAAGGATGTGAATTTGATAATACCAATTAATTATTACTGTAGAACAATTTCACCAAATCAAGGTTCAAATTTTCACCTTTAGCTATATATTTCCCTATCAAAATTCAAACCTAAAAACTTAAAAGATAAGGTTTCTATGACTAGATTCTGAGGTTTATGTTCTTCTTGGAAAATTTTTGTTGTATTTTAGTAAAGGATAGCATAGTATTAGAACTTTATAGCAATCAATGACTTTCAGCGGTCTACTAGTATACTTAGATTAAGTCATATACTATACTTCTAGAGAGAATTTAAAAATAAGACTTTTGGATTTCCGAAACCGAAATAGAAAAAGTATCTTACTAATTGATTGGAAATTATTTTTATATATTGGTTAAAGTTGATTTTATCTGTTCATTGATTTAATTTCTCTATTGTTCGTTTAAAACATGCAGGGTTTATAGTCGCAATTTGACTGACAAGAGTGATGTTTATAGTCTTGGTGTTGTATTTCTGGAACTTGTGACTGGGAGGCCACCAATCTTTCATGGCGAAAATATTATTAGACATGTATCGTTTGGTTTCTCTTCTTGACAATTGTGATTTGATCAAGCTGGGGTAACAATTGTGTTCAGATCGTTTATCTTTTCATTTTCAACGCTGATATTGTGTTTATGATGAAATCTTACCCGGGTCGGCGGGTTCTCATTAGGAAAGTGAGTGCAGTTTTTCATTTTTCTATTTCTGACAAATTTGCAGACTGAGGCTAAGCATTTATGGCTTCCTGTCATTGTACTCATCCATATACTAGTTTGGTTAGATACAGTGTTTGCAGCTGTAGTGTTCAGACATTATCTTATTAATCTAAGGTTTTGGTCTAAACAGAATTTTCCAACAAATTCTACCAAATTCCTCACTAACTATTATCTCATACAAACGGAAAGTGTGAAATGCTTTCCAATTGCAGGTATTAAAAGGACAAAAGTTGAATTATTTTTGTTTTTTCACTTATTTTTTCCTCTAAGAGAATTATTAAAAAAAACAAAAAAAGACTGGTTCATCTGAAAACTTCTGGAACAGTAGCATATCTAACATCTAACATGGGTCCTGAGTGAATTATTGTTGGGAAGAGACACTTTTTCGGATAAAATGGGTTTTTGATATCTTGGGAGATCGTGAAATATATGAAAGAGTGCAACTTTGCTGACCATACGCAGAATCTACACGAAGAAAGTGCAACAAAAGAAAAGAAATGATGATTACGGAAAAGAAAGGAAAAGCGCACTGGACTCATCTAGCTATTGGACAATTGGTATAAATGATCCTCCATGTTCTAATTTAGAATCCAACCCAAATATTGGATCAGATTGAGTCTTTTTTTTTTCCTCAAAAAAATCCAATTTAATTCAACCTGAGTTTAGTTAACATAAGCTCAATCGTATAATTAGGTAAATTTATTAAAATATTAATATATTTTAAAATTTTCATACCAAAAAACTTAAATATGCTTTTAATTTTTTAAGGATAAGGTAAATTTGATTTTGATGATTCTTCAACTACAAAATTAATTTCTTTAACATATGTGATTTGAAAATATTTTATTTTAATCTTTTTGTTCAAAAGTTGTTAATAAAACTCACAAATTACTGAATTTGTCGTATAAAATTTAGTTATTAGTATTATTATTTATAAAAATATTACATTAAATTAATTAATGTTACAAGATTGACTTAATATAATATTATCTGTGATGCTATGTATAATTCTAAGAGACTAAAATAAGCTTTTTTATAGGGGTTAAAAAATTAATTTTAAATTTGAGAGACAAAAAATCAACCTTTCTAAAATTTAAATGACTAAAAATATATTTAAGAAAAACAAAAACAAAATATAAATTATAAATCAATATATGTTTCAAACTTCACTAAAATAGATTATGCTAAATTGCAATTTTTAAATGATATTCAATTCATGATTTTTTTTACCTTTTCTAATTATACTATTTGCAATTTTAGTCCATCGACGTCTAAAAAAAATGGTAAAAGTAATTGTATGTAATGTTTGTATATCCTGTAACCCATTATATTTCTAATCTATATTCATCGAGACTAATTTCTGTAAAGATTATGTAAAAAAAAGTGTTAAAAATAATTCAAAGAGAAATAAAATATGTAATCCAAATTTAAACCACTTAATCATTTATCTTACTTGAGTTACAATGTAAATAATAAGATTATATATGTATCATTATTGCATGATTTAATGTTATTTTTAAAGTACTTTTTAATGTTAATGAATTTGATAAAAAAATATATCGAAAATGATAACATTAATATAGTCAAAGTAAAAAAAAAGGACTAATTTTCAATAAAATTAATAAATATTTTTATACGTCAACATTATTATGATAAAAAAATCTAATTTAAAAATGATAAACATTAAATTCATATAATAATAAAAAAATATTAAACAATTATATAATTTATTATTTGATATATTTTTCATATAATAAATATGTATCCTTCAGGGTTATTTCATTTACAACCATGAAATGAAAGCACATTGAGCAACAGTAGCATACCCAATACACGTTGAGCGCAAGAACCTCCAAAAGGCATGCTTAGATCCTTTATGCATTGGTTAAGCTCCATCCTTCATCCTTGTGGGCTAAGAGCGGCCATACCTGCACAGAGCTTTGGAGAAGTATATATCATATCTATCATGTTTTAAGTTATATATGATATGTGAATGCTGAGGAGTCTCCTCTGGAGGAAAGAGGATAGAAAACCCTTCACATACCATAACATAATGTATTATGTAATAAAGATAAGCATGCAAAAGACTTGATGTGCACCCTCGTTGATGATGGGAAGGCTTCGTCACTTCCCATTCTGATAGAGTAATAATAGACACCCCTAAGATTAGAGGTGAGCAATAATAGCCATCCCTTCGTGCATGTTTATTTTATGAAAGTTTTATGTAAATGATTCATTTATAAGAAATGTTTATGTTGCTGCATGTCTAGGTTTAGCTTTCATGCTTCAAATTGAATAGGTTTGTAAAAGTGAATATATTTCTATCTTCATTATAGGCTAGATTTCGAAAGACAATGTATTTTTTTAGAAAGACGGTGTATTCTCTTGTACTATATGCGGAATTACTCTTATGTCATGTATATGATAGCTAGCATTACTTAGAAATGATATATGTTTGTATGATTACACTTATGGTTAGTATCCATATTGTTCCAATGGTTAATGGCTTCATATATATGTTTGGTCCTTTGTTGTTGTTGATGTTGTTATTTTACCATGTTTAAGGGACACATCTAACTATTTGATCATTATGTTGTTAGGAAGCTCCATGAAGTCGAGTTTGCACACATATATATATATAAGATCGTA